TGTCAAGCTTTGGGTGGCAGATGTTATAGATTTTAGGTCTTAAAATACGAAGAATCAGAAACTATCCAAATGCTGAAGTGGAGAATTATTTTTATCCCTATGGATTTAGATTCGAATCTGGACTTGCAAATTGAAGTGGTGTTGGAGAGGCGGATTCACACTTCCGTCTTCTTAAGACGTGGCCTGTTTGAAGGCGCGCAGATCCCAGTGCCCGAGCAGGCCCTGGCCCCTCCCCACGGGGACGCACCAGCCTGCCTGCCACTCAGCCAGGCCCAGCGGGGGTCGTCCGATCCTAGCCCCGCTGGCCCGCGGAAGAGCCCAGGCTGATGCCCCGTCCCATCTCCCCTTCCCATTTCAGTCATCCGGGCCTTGGATGGAAATTGCTTCCTGAGTGGCGGGCGCTGATTGAAGGGAGGACTTCCCCGTCCTTGATTCTCGGAGCCTCCTGATGAGGATGCGGCAAATTTGAGACATGATCTGTATTTTACATTTCCAAATTTATTACGGAGGTGGTGGCGTGTCGACGTGCGTGTCGCCTTGCACATCTCCAGAAATGAATTTCCTGACATTTAGGTCTTTAAAAAAATGTATATGCACTGGCTGTCAGCGGCAGCTGTATTTATGCGTCCTGAGATTCCTGGGCTCCAGCAGCCAGGCTTCACAGACAGTGCCTGATGGGCCATTACGGGCGAGATTTACTCGAGATTTGTCCTTTTTCTAAAGCTGCACGTTTGTTGAAAACAGCATCCTGGGCCGTCCACTGAGGGAGGTTCGTGGACCTGGGCCTTCTGTGCCTGGGCTGTGGCCAACAACCCAGCAGCCTCTGCGGAAGCGATACTGCAAAGACGCTGGGCACAGCAGCCACGTGGGTCCAGGAGGGGCAGGGAGGCGGCTGGCTTTCCACCGAACGGAATACGAAAGGCGGAAGACAGATCAAACGCTGCCACGTCGTACGACACACAGGGGGCTGTGCCAGCTGCTGTCCCTGCCCATCCCCCATACTGGGGCAGGGTCAGGGCAGACCCAGCAGGTGCACTTGGACAGAGAAGGCCACGCATGAGGCATGGGCAGGGGCTCCAACGACTCCACGCCAAAGGAGGTGCGGGGGGCTAAAGTAGTCTCTGGGGTCGATGAGGGGCCGGGAGTGGGCGTCTTCACAGAGCCAGCACCTGACACACACGACTCAGAATGGAAAGCCAGGGCCCACGGCCCACAGCCTCCAGGTGGGAGGGGGAGCTGGCCACCCTCTGTTCCGTCAGCCAGGTCCCTCCCATCCCAGGGCTGCCAGCCGTGGAAGAGGGCAGGGCTGGTGGGAGGCCGACAGCCCTGCAAACCGTGCTGTCCGTGGCTCACTTCTGAACCCCACATCCAGGCGGTGCTGAGATGAACCCCACCTGGGAGGGCAGGCAGGCCCCGCAGGCCCCGGGCACCTGGCCATGCTCTGCAAGGGGCTGGGGGACTTTCTGCCGGCGACACCTGAGGTCATGGAGGAGGACGGAGCCAAGCAGAGAGAGGGATGGGGCACCCAAGGACAGGAGGTCTCAGACGAGGGCTGTGGTGCGGGGCCGGGGGTGTGCCCCTTGGCTGACTCCCACTACCACTCACCCCAGGCACACACAGAGACCTGGGGCTGGAAGGAAGCCCTGCCTTCCCCAGGGGGCCCCCACTCCCAGGAGCTATGGAGAGGACACCAGGAGCCAACCAGGCCTCCCTGAGGCCTTGCCCTTCCCGGACCTGCAGGGCTCCGCCCCTCCCACACTGGAGCCTCAGAGCACCTGACTTCAATCCCAGGAGAGCCTGGAGGCCCCTCCCTGCCGCGTCCTAAGGCTGTAGCCCCGCCCCCGACATTCACAGGAGCCCTTCCTTTGCTCTCCGACCTGGTTCCCCGCCAGGGCCTGCTGCACCTGCAGCTCCCCCAGGCACAGCTGCTTTTGTTCACGTACGTATGTATGTATTCACGTATGTATGTATGCCTCATCCGTGTCGCTGTGCTCTCTGGCCTGGGCATAGTGGCACAGGGACAGTGTGTTTCTCATGGCTGACCCTGGCTCAGCTTCCAGCCTCTCTTCCTAAGTCTCCCGAGCTGCCCCTCTGACATCGGATTATGTCCTAGGTCCGGCACCTGCCACCCAGCTGTACATCATGTCTCCTCCTGGTGCCCGGATGCTTCTGGCTCCTGACCCCTGGTCCCCCGGCCCAGAGCCCCCTTCTCCTGGTTCTCGGGGACTCAGGGGACATGCAGGTCCCAGCTCCAGGAACTGTCACTGTCGGCTCCCTGAAATCCTCTTCTGCATGTGGTATCCTGTGCCCTGTGTGTCCCTCCAAATCCACACCCTGGAACTCAGGTCCCCATGGAGGGTGCTGGGAGGCGGGGCCCTGGGGTGATCGGTGGAGGGGATGGAGGGACCGAGTGGGCCTTCGCCCCTCTGTCTTCCGCCACGGGGGCCCGACAACGAGGCACCACATGGAAGCAGAGGGCAGGCTCCACCGGCGCAGAATCTGCACTTCCCGGGCTGCAGAACTGCGAGAGGACAGCGCTGTGGTCCTCAGCGCCTGGCTGTGGTGTTGTTCCAGTGGCAGGGGAGGACGGAGGCAGCCTCGGACGTCCACTGGCTTTTCTGCCCCTTCCCTGTAACTGACCCCACTGTGAACCCAGCACGGCTCCCAGCACCCCATCAGTGGAGCCGTGCAGCCCCACCCAGACCCGCCAAGGCGCCAACCACGGCCTCACGCGGCCTCCCAGTGCCAGGTCACAGCCTCCTCTCCTCCCAGGACTGAGGTCACGACCCCCTGCACTCCTCTCAGGGCTCTGGTCACGACCCCCTCCTCTCCTCCCAGTGTGGGAGTCACGACACCTACCCTCCTCCCAGGGCCAGGGTCACGACCACTCCCCTCCTCCTAGGGCTAGGGTGAGAACCCCATCCTCTCCTCTGTGTGTGCTCTGATTGCTCCCTGTGTGTGTGTGTGTGTGTGTGAGCGTGTGTGGGCTTGTCCACACATGTATGTGTGTGTTCTGATGCTCCCTTGTGTGTGTGTGTGAGCATGTGTGGGCATGTCCATGCATGCATGTGTGTGTTCTGATGCTCCCTGTGTGTGTGTGTGTGTGTGTGAGCATGTCCATGCATGCATGTGTGTGTTCTGATTGCTCCCTGTGTGTGTGTGTGAGTGAGCATGTGTGGGCATGTCCATGCATGCATGTGTGTGTTCTGATGCTCCCTGTGTGTGTGCGTGTGTGAGCATGTGTGGGCATGTCCATGCATGCATGTGTGTGTTCTGATGCTCCCTGTGTGTGAGCGTGTGTGGGCTTGTCCATGCATGCATGTGTGTGTTCTGATGCTCCCTGTGTGTGTGCATATGTGAGCATGTGTGGGCTTGTCCATGCATGTGTGTGTTCTGATGCTCCCTGTGTGTGTGTGTGTGAGCATGTGTGGGCTTGTCCATGCATGCATGTGTGTGTTCTGATTGCTCCCTGTGTGTGTGTACGTATGTTTGCAAGCATTTATGGGCGTGTCTATGCATGCATGTGTGTGTGTGACCGGATGCCCCCTCCATTGCTGCTCCATTGATCCGTGCCTCTGCACTCTGAGTCACCGTGTGAGTTCCCATTCCTCCTCTCCATCTCTCCCCACTCCACTGGGCTCTGTGTCCACCAGGTCTGTGACGCTCTCTCCTTGGCCATACGTCCTCCCGTGCACGTGGGCATCCCAGGCTGAGAGAACAGCATGGCTTCTGCGATTTACTCCCAGCCACTCCTCTCCCAGTCCTGGCTGGTTCTTCCTCTCCACAAGTCGTCTGAAGTGCAGGGCCCAGGCCTCAGTCACGGTGCTCTCGGTGTCACCCTGCATTGTGCGTCATGCTCTGACGGAGACTCAGCCATCCTCAGGTCCAGCTACACCCACTCCTCTGTGTCCAGTCTCAGCTTGGTGTGGGGCGGGCCTCCACTCCCCCATGTGGGGCGGGGCCTCCACTCCCCCATGTGGGGCGGGGCCTCCACCTTCCATGTGGGGCGGGGCCTCCACTCCCCCATGTGGGGCGGGGCCTCCACTTCTCCATGTGGGTTGGAGCCTCCACTCCCCCATGTGGGGCGGGGCCTCCATCTTCCATGTGGGATGGGGCCTCCACCTTCCATGTGGGGTGGGGCCTCCACTCCCCCATGTGGGGCGGGGCCTCCACTACCCCATGTGGGTACCCACATGGGGGCCTCCACTCCCCCATGTGGGGCGGGGCCTCCATCTTCCATGTGGGGCGGGGCATCCATCTTCCATGTGGGGTAGGGCCTCCACCTCCCTGTGTGGGATGAGACCTCCACCTTCCATGGGGCCTCCATCTTCTCATGTCCAAAATTGAGACGTATCCTCCCCTGCTAACATTTGTGGGTCACCACTGCCCAGTTCAGTGGCAGCAACTCTGTCCTGATGCTCCTCTGATTGAAACCACAGCAAGGTCTCCAACTCTTGCCTTTGTCTTCCACACAGGACCCATACTACAGGGGTCTACTGGCCCCTCTCTAAGCATGGAAAAACGAGCCCTTTCTCTCCCCACACTGGCCCAGGCTGGCCCAAGGCTGCACCCTGTCGCCTGTGGGAGGGCTGGCCCTGCTCTGAGCTCCACCCTGTCGCCTGTGGGAGGGCTGGCCCTGCTCTGAGCTCCACCCTGTCGCCTGTGGGAGGGCTGGCCCTGCTCTGAGCTCACCTGTCACCTGTGGGAGGGCTGGCCCTGCTCTGAGCTCACCTGTCACCTGTGGGAGGGCTGGCCCTGCTCTGAGCTCACCTGTCACCTGTTGGAGGGGCTGGCCCTGCTCTGAGCTCACCTGTCACCTGTGGGGAGGGCTGGCCCTGCTCTGAGCTCACCTGTCACCTGTGGGAGGGGCTGGCCCTGCTCTGAGCTCAACCCTGTCACCTGTGGGAGGGGCTGGGCCTGCTCTGAGCTCACCTGTCACCTGTGGGAGGGGCTGGCCCTGCTCTGAGCTCACCTGTCTCCTGTGGGAGGGGCTCACCCTGCTCTGAGCGTACCTGTCGCCTGTGGGAGGGCTGGCCCTGCTCTGAGTGCACCTGTCACCTGTGGGAGGGGCTCGCCCTGCTCTGAGCTCACCTGTCGCCTGTGGGAGGGCTGCCCCCTGCTCTGAGCTCACCTGTCACCTGTGGGGAGGGCTGGCCCTGCTCTGAGCTCACCTGTCACCTGTGGGAGGGGCTGGCCCTGCTCTGAGCTCACCTGTCACCTGTGGGGAGGGCTGGCCCTGCTCTGAGCTCACCTGTCACCTGTGGGAGGGGCTGGCCCTGCTCTGAGCTCACCTGTCTCCTGTGGGAGGGGCTCACCCTGCTCTGAGCGTACCTGTCGCCTGTGGGAGGGCTGGCCCTGCTCTGAGTGCACCTGTCACCTGTGGGAGGGGCTCGCCCTGCTCTGAGCTCACCTGTCGCCTGTGGGAGGGCTGCCCCCTGCTCTGAGCTCACCTGTCACCTGTGGGAGGGCTGGCCCTGCTCTGAGCGTACCTGTCGCCTGTGGGAGGGCTGGCCCTGCTCTGAGCTCACCTGTCGCCTGTGGGAGGGGCTGGCCCTGCTCTGAGTGCACCTGTCACCTGTGGGAGGGGCTCGCCCTGCTCTGAGCTCACCTGTCACCTGTGGGGAGGGCTGGCCCTGCTCTGAGCTCACCTGTCACCTGCGGGAGGGCTGGCCCTGCTCTGAGCTCACCTGTCGCCTGTGGGAGGGGCTGGCCCTGCTCTGAGCTCACCTGTCACCTGTGGGAGGGCTGGGCCTGCTCTGAGCTCACCTGTCACCTGTGGGAGGGCTGGCCCTGCTCTGAGCTCACCTGTCTCCTGTGGGAGGGCTGGCCCTGCTCTGAGCTCACCTGTCGCCTGTGGGAGGGCTGGCCCTGCTCTGAGCTCACCTGTCACCTGTGGGAGGGCTGGCCCTGCTCTGAGCTCACCTGTCACCTGTGGGAGGGCTGCCCTGCTCTGAGCTCACCTGTCACCTGTGGGAGGGGCTGGGCCTGCTCTGAGCTCACCTGTCACCTGTGGGAGGGCTGGCCCTGCTCTGAGCTCACCTGTCGCCTGTGGGAGGGGCTGGCCCTGCTCTGAGCTCACCTGTCGCCTGTGGGAGGGCTGGCCCACCTGTGGCCGCTGCCCAGGGGCCTGTTGCTGCTTCTGTGGCACTCAGGGCCCCTCTTGCAGGCGTCAGGTCACCTCACTCCCGCATCCAGGTCCATGGACATCTCTGAAGCTCTCTGAGCAATTCAAACTCCTGTGCTGGGTGCAGCCCCGTGTGCAGCCGAGACCTGGGGACTTCCTCCTGTGGCTGCTCTGCTTGCGAGCAGCCGCTTCCCCTGCTCCCCAGCCTTTGCTCCAGCGTGGCTCTCGGCAGGGCACACACGGCCCCGCCTGGCACCTGCCCCCACACGCACAGCTGTCACCTCCCAGTTGCAGCACAGAACCGCACCAGCTTGTTTATGGTCCAGTGTCTGTCGCAGATTTCTGTTGTGTTTACGTGAGGCGGTGTGTTACGCAGGCGGTGGCTTTACCCACTACGCCACAGTGCTGGCATCCCATATGGACACCGGTTCAAGTCTCGGCTGCTCCACTTCCGATCCAGCTCTCTGCTATGGCCTGGGAAACAGGAGAAGATGGCCCAAGTCCTTGGGCCCCTGCGCCCACGTGGGAGAGGCCCCTGGCTCCTGGCTTCAGATCAGCACAGCTCCAGCCGTTGCAGCCCTGCTGCAACGTCCCAGCCCTGCTGGGAGGCCAGCTGCGGCCACATGGCCCCAGTCCACTTGTGCAGGATGAGGGCTAGGGGAGCCAGTGCCAGGGAAGCGGTCAGCTGATGTCGGCCCACTGGCAGCTCATCGGCTAGAACCCAGCTCCAGGCACGCAGAGCTCAGCTCCCAGTCTCCTACCCCATGGACGCCCGCCCGAGTGGACCTGGATGCCCCAGGGGACTCAGCGTGCTCAGCCAGGCCTCGCAGGGCGGTCCCAGAGGCAGCACCTGCTCAGCTCTGGCGTTCTGTGTGCCTGCAGCTCTGAGCGAGGCGGAGGAAGCAGGCATTCCCACATGGGCTGCCTTAACCCCTGCTCCAGGCTCCTGCCCCTGGGAGGGTCCCTGGAAGGAAGGAGACAGTGGGGCTGTGGGACATGTTTCCTCTTCCTGGGCTTCAGCACCCAGGGCCCAGATGGGGAGTGCGGTTTGACTTCCACAGGTGACACCAGCAAAACTCGAGTAGCCGCGTGCTGGGGCAGGAGCTGGGGCAGGAGTGTTCTCCTCTTACTGGTGCACAACAGGGAGCTGTGTGGCACGGCAAGAGAGTGGTACTGTGCCAGCACAGACACAGCAGGGTCTCCCGTGGGCCCCCCACGTGGCGGGGGGCAGGTGCCCGTGTGATGCCGACGACTCCGCTGTTTGCTGCTGACTCGGAGGTTGCTGGGCTGCAGGGGCTCCCGGCGGGGAGCAGGAACCGTGGCTCTCTCTATAGGCACAGTCACCCACCGACGCATCCACCAGGCAGGCGGGGAGGCCTCTGGGGAGGCAGGCAGCTGCCCGGGGCCGGACACACCCCCATGTGGGTGGTGAGGGCCGCTGTGATGGACACAGCTGGACGGGCCCAGCGTGAGGGCTGAGGTCAGAGGGTGCAGCACCGTAACCAGCGCCTCGACGGGACCCACTGCCCCTGGGCAAGGACCACGGGTGCCACGGGCTGCCCCGACCAGGCTGCCCCGTGAGGGCCTGCGAGGCCGTGACCCGAGCATGGCCACTGCTTTCTCAGAGGGCTCCTCTGACCCCGCGGCTGAGGTGCAGAGGGCGCTGCTAGGGCGTGGCCACAGAGGCCCGCTCTCCACGCGTCTCTGCTGTGGCCACTGTGTGCGCACGCTGAGGGGACTTTCCAGGAACATCTGGGACTGAGCTGCTCATTGGGCAGCAGGCTTGCTCGTGGGGGCTCCCCCTGCGGGCGCCCACGCTCCCTGCACCTCATTTCATCCCGCAGTCGGGGAGTGTCGCCGCTGGGGCGTGGCCCCTCTGCGTCAGGTGGGCTGTCCTTCCTGGCAGGCTGCACGGATGGACGGAGGGGACTTGTTCAGCTGCCACCAGATGAGGTGAGGGGAGGGCTTCGTGCCCCACTAGGCCACGTGGGGACACAGGGTTTCTGGGGTTTGGGGTGGCAGGGAGAGTGGTCGCTGGGGCTCAGAACCTGGGGGAGAAGGGCCATGGGTCCGCTCTGCCTGGCTGCCCCACAGCCCCCAGCTCGCCCCCAGGCGGGTGTAATCCAAGCCCCATCACAGAGGGAAGGAGGGCCTACCTGAGCTGACCCCACCCTTGTGGCCCTTGTGGCCCAGGGCATAGTTTCTGGGGGCTGTGTCATCTCACTAATGGTCACCCTGTCCCCCCAGGGACAGCACAGCGGGAGGAGCAGAGCCACTGCGGGTGGTGCAGGTGTGGCTGGGGACAGGGGAGGGAGACGGAGATGTCGGAGCCATGCAAACAAGAGCTTCTGGGCGTCGCAGCTGCCGGAGAGGGCCTAGACCCCCGCCCCTGCGCCCCCAGCCCTTCATCCCTGCTGCAGGGGCTGGAGCAGCTTGCCGCAGGGCCTGGCTCCTCCCCACCCTGGCAGAGGGGAGCTGGACCTGGGGCCAGGGTCACCCGCAGCAAGGGTGAGAGCTGGGCTTCCCTGGGTCTCAGGCTCAGGCAGCTGCAGCCCTGGGGAGAGGGAGCTCCAGGCCCAGCCAGGGAGGAGCTGCAGAGGGGAGCCCAGGGCGCATGCCCAGCGTGGCAGAGCTGGGAGCCCTGGCTGGTGTGTGGGTGGGGCTGTGGGACAGGTGACTGAAGTCGTCGACAGAAACGCTCCACTACTCTGGGCTGGAAGCCTCAAGGGCAGGAGGGCAGGGGCACTGGCCCTCCCAGGGCTCCAGGGCCCAGGCCCCGCCCCTCCCCGGGGCCTGTGCATCCTCGCCCTTCCTTGCAGGCGTTGGATCCGGGCCCATCTGCATCTCAGAGACCCTGCTTCCGCACGCAGCTCCTGGGGCTTCCCACAGGGACCTGCCCACCGGACTGGTCGGCCCGCGGCGTGGGCTCAGCGCTACTTCCAGAAGGAAGGAGTCGGGGACTGCGAGTCCAGCAGACAACACCCACAGACAGACAGATGGACACATGGGCTTCGGGACTCCTACACGCAAGGCCCGCGCTTGCAGTCGGCTGTGTCTTCCCTCTCACAGGGGCTGTGGGAAGGAACCCATCAGGACCTCGTCTGGGGCTGCCTTCCTGCGTGGCTCCTCCACAGCCCTCCCCGTGGCTGCCGACCTCACAGGGGGAGGGGGGAGTGTCCTGCTCCTGCACCATGCCCCCCGCCATGGGCCCCTGTCCCGTCGCGAGGTCCGGAGCAGCTCCGGCAGTGACCCAGGGTTCGGGTTCCATCCGCCGTGCCAGCCGCCGGCTGTGTGGCCCACGAGCTGTCCACACTGCTTTCCGGAGACGCTGGTGCTCGGTGCGGCCTACTTTATCTCTGCTCCATCTTTGCGTTTGCGGTTTGCTCCTGCTCTGGGAGGTGCCTGCTTCTTCAGGGTGTTAATTTCATCTGTGCTGGTCACGGTGTTTCCGTGTATCTGCGTGTCGGGTTCACCCCATCATTTACGCCTCCGCGGTGTCTCGACTGTTCCCCAGGCCCCCGGGGGTGCTCTCGGTGCAGGCGACAGCGGCCACAGCCGGCAGCAGGGGACACGGAGGCCGCTCCACGGCTGGAGCCGGGCTGCAGCTGCCTGCCCACGTCCTTGCCAAGTGAGGGTAAGAGCCCTCCTGAGATGTGCAGGGGCCGCGGGGCGTCTGGAGCGGGCACTTGTGGACCACGGGCAGGGAGACTGCCTGGGCTGGCAGGCGGGGGCGTGCAGGAGGGTCTCTGCGGGCAGAGGCGGCCTGGGAACAGGTGTTTGTGGTGACAATAGCAGTCGCCATGACAACCGTCACCAGTGCTTCCTGCTGCAGAATCAAGTTGTCTCCAGGGGAACTCTGAGGCTGGGAAGACTGTGATTCCCTCTGGGAGGCAGGGAGGGGCTCAGGGGCCTGGGGGTACTGCTCCCTGCTTCTCGCGTGGGCCTGGAGCAGGGCTGTTTCTCAGGCAGAACCCCCCAAAGCTGCTGCCTGGCCCTGAGCAGGCTGGGAGGGCTGCCTGGTGCTGCCCAGTGAAGGCAAGGCCTTGAGAGGGGGCTGGGGGTGCAGGGCCCCCGTACACTGAGCGTGTGGTGCCAAGGACGGTGCCTCGCAGGAGAGGTGCTGGTAGGCAGTACGGGAAGACGAGGAGGGCAGCGCCGTGTCAGGGAGCCTGCTCGGCTCCAGTCCCAGCTCGCCTCTGCGGGTGCTGCGGGGGGCAGACGTGTGCCCGTGGGAGCCTCAGCCCTTCCCGTTGCTGGGCCACGGCTCCTGAGTGCGTGTGGGATGCGGGCCGCGAGGGAGCAGGGGGGCTGGGGAGGAGATGGCCAGTGCCACCTGAGACACATCCATCAGGCTGGCTGCAGGCAGGGTGGCCACGCTCAGAGCCAGGTCCCTGCCCTCCATGCACACCCCAGGGTTCCGCTACAGGGATGGGAGGGCACGGGGCAGTGAGGAGACAGGCGTCCAGGGAGGGGATCCCGGGGAGGGGGTGACCCGGGCACCCTCAGTCTGGGAGAGGATCTCTGAGCACCGCAGTGGGGCCAGATCCGTAGCCCCACAGGGCTACTCGGTCGTTGGCGGTGAGCGGCAGCTTTTACACCCTCCTCCCACCTCCGTGTGTATCCGGCGTTCACATCCCCAGAGCACTGCTCCTGTCTTGGAAACACCCCTCTCCTTGCTGCCAGCTCCACGGGCACACTGTCCCTGCCTCGCCCGGCTTTCCAAGCCCCTGGATCCTCCCTTTGCTTCCAGCGTTAGGGAGCCCCCTCCTGCAAAGTGTGAAACAGCAGCGAAGCTGGCAGGGCGCCAGGGCACCAGGCTGCGGGCGGCGAGCAGCCTGCTGGCCCCACTTGGGGGGCACCTGGGTCCCTGTCCACGGATCTGCAGAGGGAGGGGTGCGCCCTGTCTGCCCAGGTTCCAGGTTCCTCTTCCGCACCAGGCTGCCCAGCTTCATAAACCTCAGACTGAGCCCTAA